CACACACACACACCAATTTAGCAAGCTTGTACAGCGAGGAGGATCGATTGTTTATACGCGAAGTCTCTTGCGGTTGCGGTTGGGGTCCAGGGCCTGCGTAAGGGCCCTTGAAGCTCAGGGGGTTTGAGAAAGCGGCCCGCGAGGCACGTGTGTATGGCTGTGCACATCGACGCTGCGTACGTGCCTGCTGGCAGGGGTGGCATGTAGAGGGTTGGCATTGCGAGAGAGCGACAGCAAAACTCTTTCGGGGAATTGACGAAAAAGCTACAATCGGGAATGACACACGAGTGTGCCGGCAGGGAAAAATATACGTGTGAATTTCATTAGGATTTTCCATGGATTACGGTTCTATAATCCTACGGGTCGTTGGTCCTACGGGTCTACGTAGGCATGCCCGCAGGCACACCCGCACGCACGCATGCAGGCAGCACGCGTGCAGGCACACGCGCAAGCACGCGCGCAGGCACGCACATGCACGCACGCAGGCACACACGCAAGCACGCCTGCAGGCACGCGCGCACGCGCGCAGGCACACACGCAAGCACGCCCGCAGGCACACCGGCACACACAGGCACGCAGGCACACTGGCACACACAGGCACGCGCGTAGGCACACCCGCAAGCACTCGCACAGGCACACACGTATATATACGCGCGGGCGGCAGCGCGCGCTTGATTGAATGCAATACAGTACAGTACACACATGCATGCTTAAATGGTAAACACTTGACAGTCACACCGTATCATGAATTCTACCGCACCGTGGAACCGGCTACCGCTAGCGGCAGAGGGCGAGCGAGAGCGGCAAGGCGCAGGACCGACCTGGACAATCGATTTCCATGGCGAATTTTTGCTTTTGGGGTCGCCCTTGATATCATGTTTTCGGGGGCTCTTTTTGGCATTTCGGGGGCGAAATCGCCCGCCGCCCCCGTGTATTTTTTCCCCTGGTCATCACGTATTAGTAACTTATATAGAACGTTTCGATAACTTATAGATAACTTATACCAACGAATGCTTAGCGAGTTGCCGGCGTTCAACTTATGTCCAACGATAGTCTAACTTATGCATAGCGCGCGGCAGCGTATCGCCGACGATCACGTGTCGTAGCCTATAAAAAGGCTGCTGCTCGACGATTCAAATCATAACCGCACTAGACATCGCAGTATCAACATGCCAATACCATTTTTATATACCAATTCACCTAAACGCTGCCAATACGCCATTATATGGTAGCTGTAAGTTAGAAACACATTCAGCAAGTTCTGTGGCGTCCGGAACACGTCAAATACGTCTACATACGTCAATATGCGTTGGAGATAAGTTCGATATTTATAACTGATAAATTACACATAGGTTCAAAGCATGTTACTCATACTCATAGGTTAAAAATAAGTTTTTGGGTACGCTAGACATTATCTCGACGTATTTAGACTCATGTACAGTAACTTACAAGTAACGTGTGTGAATGCAAAGAATTTTTCTACGACCTCGCTGTACTACGACGTATACCAGTGTGCTTCAGCGTGCTCTTAACTTATACAAAACTTACCCATAACTTATTCGACGTATGCCAGCGTATTCACAAATTTTTTCATACGGAGGTATACACTGGCTTGCATACGTTGGTGTGACAGGGCCTTTAGATCTAGTAGTAATAAATTAGTAATATAGCCCTCCTTACTACTAATACTAGTACTGCTACTAATAGTAACCGTAAGAGCTGCGAGGGCTTGTGCACACTCTGTCTTTGTAGCTGTTCTGTACAATGCCCTTCATACCTGCTGCATTACAATGGTAGCAGGTAGAAGCAAAGGGTTACATGGTGTAGAGCTAGGTAGAACTGTGCACTAGCCAAACAGCCTGGAATCAGTGCCTATTAAAGCCGCACAATGCGCATCCAAACGCTAATTTCTCCAGTACTAAACTAGCAAATACTTCGTGGCATGCATAATCACACTACCTTATGACAAAATAAACTCTAGTTCCTCCAATTTCACTGCGCGTTTGCTTAAAACCCACAAGAAAGTGGTGAGAAAACTGGCATTCTGGCGCCAACGCCGACTTGTTTGCCAAACAATTTAGCCTCGAAGTGGTTAGGTGACGTCACATGTTTTTATCTTTGGTACACCCGTACCGCTGTACCGCAACACCGCTAAACGGTTGCTTGGGAGAGCAACGCGAAACTGTCAACAACATCGGAGAATTTGAACAACATTGGAGGTATTTTCAAATACCTTTTATAAGACAACGCACAGTGAAATGGGAGGAACTAGAGTTTATTTGTCATAAGGTAGTGTGATTATGCATGCCACGAAGTATTTGCTAGTCTAGTACTGGAGAAATTAGCGTTTGGATGCGCATTGTGCGGGCTTTAATATGATTACTAATGGTAGCATCTAATTACGTAAAATGGTCCTGCTTAATAACTCTATAGTTGTCAACTCGTACCTATAGGAGCCCCATATATACAGCGGTACATCATCGTATATCTAACCATTACCCACCTTCTTAGCCCTAATCCTAATTATGGCAAACTTAACATATTGAGATTGTTCAAACAGTAGAAAATGTCCAGTAAAGAGTGGCCAAATTTGTATGTGGCGACTAGCCGACTACAGTTGATCCACCAGTGTCATAGCCCTTCTAGAACCATTTGGTTAGTTCTTCCTTGAAATCATGTGTAAAACGTGAATAGTAAAATTGAATAGCCAATTGTATCAAACACATATTGTAAATATAAAGGCACCATCCCAGTAAAATTCCATTTATCTGTATCATTTAGTATCTGATCCATTTCGTGATCACCTCATTATTGGTGTCTTTATTTTAGAACTTTAAACATCAGACTCTCCCTTTTGGGAGCAAAGATATCTGTTAAGCCTCCTCTTTTAAAAGTGAAGTTCTACCTCCAAGTGTGACAAGTGTTTGTCAACAAACAACTCATATAAAATACAATTGATATTTATAGGTGTGCTGTCATTTTCAGCTGGTCTAGCTCTTCATTATCCAGATGGAATGGCAGCTGTAGGTGGAAATGATTCCGACCCCTTACAGCAGGCAATGAAGATTGCCCACGATGCAATACAGATGGAAAAAAATGACAAGGAGAAGGTATAGTATGAATAGATACTAATTAACATAATGTCTTATGCAGAACTTCTTACTCTATAACAAAAAAGGGAACCGCAATGTGGAGAGTGTAAAATGTTGCTAAGACACTTTCTGCATGAAACAGTTGTCACTCTTTTTCAGCCCAATTATTTTGAGCTCATCTGACATAGTCAGATGCAGCTTGTAGAATCGCATGAGCGTGCGTGCGTCGTGCGTGCGTCCGTGCGTGCGTGCGTCCATCAACAGTTGGGAACAAATCTAAACGGCTCGACGTACGGATTCGAAAGTCGGGACGTGTGGGGGTAATCCGAAAACGAGTTAGGATGTTGAAGCTGGGGGTCAAAGGTCAAAGGTCAAGAGGTGTAAATGAAGGGGGAACATTTCCTCCTTTACTTAAGGTATAGGGAGGAAATGTAGAATTGCGGCACAAATCTAAACGGCTCGACTAGGCTCGTGAATAGTCGGTGTACAGCATCATGGTAATGAAAAGCCATCACTGTGCCGAAATTGAGGTCACAGGTCAAAGGTTAATGGGGCACAGGGCAGATTTTAGAAATTTTCTGAGGACATGGTCTGATGGAGGCGATTGAAAAACTTTTTTGTTTCAGGCGGTGACCTAGCATTTTTATGGCTTTATTGAAAGGACCATGAAAATGTAATTTCTGCTGACATGCGAGAGTAAGTGTCCGGATAACCTTTTGACCCTCAAGAGGCGGTTAAACATGGATTTCTTTACTGTTAGAAAATAATTTGACTGCCGTGGTTTGCTAGTAGAATCTATACATGCCTGGATCTGTATGAGGCTACAATGTCACAGGTGAATTCAAAACTAAATTTGGTGAAGGTTTATGTCCTTAAATCGTATAATTTCTATGGCATTTCTGTACTGTCAGTGTGTTACATGTAACGTATGCCACTGCCAGTGGCCACTGCAGATGGCCAGTGCATGTGGTGGTGGTACTCGTGTAGCGGTTTTTGCCTGCAGTTAATTAGTTACAGGTGGCAGCTCTCTATTTTAGCCTGTAGGCTTGCGTAGGTAAATGTATGTGTGCTTACCTATTCTGTCTTGCAAATTAGTTGTTACGTACTACATACGATGCGTGAGCTCTCCATCTTTAATCTGAAGACACTTAAACGTACGCGCCATCTCGTGGCAACTTTTCATAACGATCCCCAATGAACATTCCTTTTGAGAAGGTTCCTGATACATCCCTGTGCCTTCCACTGTTTCGGCGTGTATGTGAACACATTTGGGACTACACGGGTTTACTAGAATCCACCACTCCACCACAGAGTCACCGCAGTAGACGTTAGATGAGCGCTGTCGCTCTGCGGCACTTGTTTGTATTACATATTATTATATGTTTATTATTTATCTAGGCTGACTATGTTTTCCTGGAAATTTTGGCTATTATGTCTTTTACATTAATGGTCTGTCCATGACATATTTACCTGTTTAGACCATTTTTTAATACAGATTGTCACAAGGAAATTCTTCTATGAATTTGTGCTAAAAGTGTTTCAATTCTGTTTCAGGAAGCCTGTTTTAAGTACTTGGAATGTGTAACGTTTGTCATGCAGTATTTATTGACAGAGCTCAGAAATCGAGGTATACTATATTATATACATTGTATATTCCTTTATAAACATTTTGGTCTCTTTGAAATAACCCTCTGGACAACTTTCGGTTATGTGATATGTTTGATTCTATCATTGTGTCGCATTTTAATTGTAACTATTTTTTGACCAAGGATCACGATATTTTAAATTTAGTATATTATATTCTAAAGATGGTTTTTAGTTTATTGATATAATTTTATGAACCAACATTTTTAGAGATATCTATGTCTTACCATGGAACATATATTATTGTAAATATCTGATCATCAATTTCAGTTTTATACTGCCTGATGATATCTTGTTTGCAAAATTTATTTTAATTGTAACGTTGTTAACACTAGTTTTGCAATAAACCTATTATCTATCTATCTATCTATCTATTAACATAGGTATAAGGTGGCATGCAATAAGTTTCGTAGTTGAACATTAATCGCAACGGATATGTGATATTATGAGCATATCATATAAGGCCGACCAAAAAATTACCTTTGGTTCGGGTCACCCGCCCGACTTCACATTTCGGAGTGAAAAATATGCGACTGCGGTCACTTTTAGAGGGTTTAAAGAAAAATTAAATTCAAAGATAACCGCCTGCCGATCATACATATTCAAATATCCGACTCTTGTCATTTTATTTACCTAAGGAGAATTCCAAAATATTTTTAACAACGTGAAACAGTCGTATAGAGCCTGGGCCGGCTACTTCATAAAACACAGGCCTGAAGGTCATATGGCCGGCGGCCGGCCTTTGATGTACGCGATCGATCGCTACTATATTAGTATACGCATGCTATCGTGCTATAACCGGCCGCAGAGCCGTTTACACTTCGGTTACTCGCTCGTTCAATAGGGACATTAATCAAGCTCCGTTTTTGGAGCGATTCCTAAACACTACTATCCAGCGTGTTCACATTTTGCAACAATCGAAAAATATCAATTGTTTAGTATATACTATCGGCGATAAATATCGTGTTTCACTTTACCATCGATGCATTAAATTGCCATCGAGACAAAAAATATCGATAGTTATCGATAGTTCGATGCATCGTTACACCCCTAATAAACAATGTATTGAAATGAGATGCCTACAGCAGAAGAAACATTTATTAATTTGAAAATGTCATGTAGTACTATGTATGGATGTTCATCAAGAGCATACACAATATCCAGAGTAATTTTCAGATTTATAATTTTGTCTGTGTCCATGTATTTTATTCTCCTGCTCTTCTGGATCTGCAGTCCACAATTTTGGGATCTAGTGTTTTTGGTTTGGCAGGTCTTGACAAACGAGTCTCGTCCTCTCCTTCCCAATCTCTGATTCCAGATGACACCAAGATGACACAATATCAGGTTGTGGGATCCAAATGAGCATTCCTGAATCTTCTGTCCTGAAGAAAGACTTTGTAGCAATGGTAGCCCTAATTTTTTCCCAGACTGAGGGACTGGTACCCTTTCCATTCCTTGTGAAGTTTACATTTTTGTCTTCCTGTTCTTCTTGGCTGTCACAAAAACAATGTCGTGACTTGCAGCAATGGTACATGCAATGCAAGTCATTTGCATCTCGTGGCTCCTGCATTTCAAGCTGTATACCCTATATTTAACTTGTGAAAAAAAACGCTGGCAACTACCCATGTTTTTGCAGGAAAAAAAATGTAATACCTACCCTACCTACCTATAATTTTCACAATCCATGTGACCCGCAACCAAAGGTATTTTTTGTTTGGCCTAAGTAGGAATGTGAATTTCATTTTAAATTTTAATTGTACAATTACAGTGACTATTCTTTTCCAATTTTGTTTTGTACACTTTGTATTACTACTGCCATGATGATGCAGTATGCACAGTGCCATAAACAGTTCAGTTCAGTTAATTGCAATTGCTTTGTTGCTCTATAGTATTAGAAAGGATATATATTAACGACACCCCTATCACATAGAGAACTCTGCTTTTGTGCTGTCTTTTAATTTCAATCCATGAGTAGCTAGTCTTTTCCTTGCTATGCCTCAGTTTTCTGTCGCCAGATGTTCTTGAGATGCCCTATTCTTCTCTTTGACAAGACTGTGACAAAATTTCTTTCTAACATTTTCCTTTTTAGGGTGTGGACCATCCATCCCAGCCTATTCATTTGAGATCTCTATGAGTTGTCTGTTGTTGCCCTATTATACTCCTATAGTTTGTTTGTGGCCTTGACAGGCCATCTGATGTGTAGGATTCTTATTTAAGTTACTTGTGATGAAGGTACGTGCCCATGATTTGTTTGTTCAGGCAAAATGCCATAATGTGTAGATTATTACTCAATAGGATCAAAGGATGGGAGAGAGAATTCTATATGGTGTGCCTACAGAGTGCTGGAAGAGCCCGAAGCCTTAGCACAGATGCAGGTATGTCAATTTCAACATATCACATTTATCTGTATAGGTATAAAATTATACTAGCTGGCTATCCCGGCGATGCCCGCGGATTTTTTGGGGGTTACTGCTTTTCTGCTATTTCATGCGTTTTCTGGCTATTGCTTGGCGTTTCGATTCCTGGATTTTGAGCCTGACTATAGAATTGGGCGGATAGGATTTGCTATTTACTTTTCTGACTGCGCGCTTGGATTCGTTCTTGACTTTACTGCTGCAGTGTAATATAATAGTGTGAGCGCCTAGGATATTGACTGGTGACTTCGTTAACTTTTTTGCTGGCGCTCAGTACTTTTTTGAGGGCTAATTTTTGGCTAAAAATAGTCGTCAAGTCATGCTGATTGAGAATATACTCACGGGTGACCCCCTGTCAATGCCGCTGGATGCAAATTGTTTTGCGCCTAAAATGGTTGTCGCGCGTGCTTGCATACTGCGACTAAACAGAGAATTGCTGATCGCACTGTGATTGAATAATAAAAATCCAGCGACGGCGACTTCCGCCTATTATCTGCTATGACGCGGTAGACGTGTAATAACTCATAATATGGAGCGAAGGATTTCCCCCCCCCGCCCGCGGCCCCCCGTACCCCCGCCCCCGCCCCGCCCCCCCCCCCCCCCCCCCGCCCCCAAAAAAATCTTTTCTAAGGCTAGTAAATGACGAATTTCCCTTGTTTATTGAAGTCACACTCCTTCCCTATTATCTACTCCTGATATACATGTCTACCTATTTGTGTGGGCATGTGTGCATACGTGGGTGTCAGGCTTGATAATATGGATGTAGGTGGTGTTATGGGGGCTTAAAAATGCGTAGGGCATGTCATAGGTTACTGGCTAAATAATATCAGAGGGCCTATACTAATTGCCCTAATATATGTATACAGCAGAGTTGGCACATTGTAATGATAGTTATATATTGCAATCGTACAAAACCACATCTAATAGATGCAATTATGCTAACAGCTATTGTCTGATTTCTGTGTGCAGGAAGTTTGGGATATCTGCTACCAAAGAGGATGATGAGAAGAAACAGCTGTATTTGCAGATACAGGAGTATGAGCAGTGTCAGGTATGCAATCGGGTATTGTTATCATGCAAGAATGAATCATGAACGTGTTACTCACATCATGTCTTAATTATGTGCCTGTGAGTCGTGTAAGTGATTTTTATTTAAGAACGTCTTACAATGTTTAATGGTTACACGTTGTAAACTTGAATGTGAGTGTCTGCTAGAACATCCTACAATGTCTAATAATTACAAGTTGTGAACTTGAACGTGAGCATCTGCGGTCTTGTAGGAGTGGTTGCGAGGCTGGAGACACAAGCTGCAGGAGACTCCAGAGGACACAGTGTTCATGCATCAGCTCATCAAACTCATCATCAGGTTAGTACATGCACGCATGTACCGATGTATTAACGTGCTATCCACACACAGCTGAGTGCTCACACATACACCCACACAGACACTAATAGTGTACGTCCTCAAGCATGCACACATGCACACAGCCATCCTTGTGTATACTCACACCTGCACATGTACACCTCACAGTCACACTCACACATGTACACACACACACACACACACACACACACACACACACACACACACACACACACGGGCCCACATACGCTCACTCATGTGCACCCTCAAGAATGTCATCGTATACATCCACATGCACATAGACCCAGCCACTCTTGTGCACACTCACACCTATACATTTACACCCTCAAAGCCACCCTCAAATGTCAATACATAATGTACACATTAATACACACATGTATGATCCTTACTCATGCACCACGTGCATGCATGCCTACACAGATACATCTATGGTCTCATTTATGAACACATACACTCACACGTCTGCCCGCTCACACAATGCCCAAAACTTAATGCTACCTTGTTTCCTCATTGACAGCACAAGTGGCCACCCACTAGCACAAATGCTGCAGAAATACCAGTATCTGATCTACGACAGGCTGCAACCACTTGTCAGTCACCGGTTAGACGAATGCAGCCACATCCGTGTCCCATTCCATGGACTGAAACCTGGTAGTGCACTGACTCAGTCCAGAGCAGGTCGTAGCTGTCTACACAGTGACGGCGGGCAAGACTCTGTCGTGCCAGCAGTGGTGGATGACGTCAGTAATTTGTATACGAATGCTGAGCTTGCAACTGGGAACAAGGACGACTTAGCGAATGCTATTGAGTCAGCAAGGCAAGATCTAGAGCAAGCGGCAGCGACTGGTGAAAATCTGGCAAAGCAGCTTACGCATGGAATGAATGCAGAAGTGGATGAAGAGGAGACGTTTGATGAAAATGATGTCGATGAAACATTAAAAGGTCTGTTGTTACAGTGTTAAGTAAAACTAGTTGTACACCTAGATTTAATTCTGTGTGGCGTTATATGTGCTGTATCAAATGTTAACTGAAACATCACATGATCTTAGTGCTAAATATTGATTTAGATAGCACATAACATCTATGTGCACATAACTTGCTGCATAACATCAAACTTCATCATAAAACATCAACATAACTTGCATAATCACGATCTGCACATAACATCTAACATCACTTCACATGATCTTAGTGCTAGATTGACTTAAAATATTGATTTTTATGCACATCAGTAAATTCTGTTATTGATTATGGGTTATAGTTTGATTATCTAAACAAACTATTATACAGTGTCTGTTGTCAATCTGTTAATATGTTCTACGTGTTATCCTTATTCCTCAAACAAGTGACGTCTTTACTGCAAATCAATGTCACTGCATGCCACCCCTTGCTTATATGAAGTCTGTAAAGTCATGATTACATGTATGTGGACAGTGATAGAAACAGAGGTCTGTCCCCCCAGTTTAGGGCCAGTAACATTTAAGTGGGACTAGCCAATCTTTATGTATTTTACTATAGGTTATATAAAACAAATCAACATTTTTGCAGTCAGGACTAGCTGGGTTTCCAGACTTATTGCCAAGACTCATGTAACACCTGTCATTACGCCTTTTCACCACACGTTACTTTTGCAGCAGATGATGATTTGGATTTGGAGTCGGTGGAAGGAGAAGCTCTGCAACGACACGCTAAAAACATAATAAATGATGTGCGTCTCTACATCGACCGGCTGCACGAGATGTTCCTCGCAACATATGAGCAGCTGAACACACCACTTGGCAGAGACCAAGTGCACTCATCGCTCGAACAGCCATTTTTGGAACGTCTCTGGCCCTATCTTTTGCCTCTATTCAGGTAAGACGGGTGATGATACATCGCCATAAGGTTTGTACATTCTAGACGAAAATCACTAAATTATAGCCACTATAATTTACACATGGCTAACTAAACCGTTGCAGGAGGTTTAACCAGTTGAAGTGCTTCGTAACTTGCTGTACGTTTCCACGGTTTTTTAAATTACCGTTAATTTTACGGTTTTTTAATGGTTCTTTAAAATGTTCAAACAGGTTGATTAACAAATCTAAGGAAACACAGTTGGCAAAAGCGATGACAGCATACATGGGGGCCAAACCTGATGATATGTTTGTGGGAGAAAACCTCTGCCTCTATGGCCATGAGTCTGTTCCATATAGCTCAGCAATCTGTGAACTGCAGAGAGTCGTGCATTTGATCTGCCCACTCAGCAAGCTGGAATGTGTAGGTTAGTACTGAGCTGCCTTGCACTTGGGGAAGCTCTGAGAGGAGTTGCGCGCCGGGAGGAGTTTTGAACTAGCAACGAGGTTGTTTTAATCCAAGCCTTAATCAATTGAAATAGGGATGATGCATTTTAACTATTTTAAGATTACTATTGTAATTTTTATGTTAATTTTAAACTTTAGGTCCACACTACTGTTAACTGTATGTAAAAGTATGACTGCCTACACTATTTTACTGCCATTCTCTCAGCCCAATTTTTTCAACCATTATTAATGTGATATGAACATCATATGCAAATGCATAGCCACGTTTGTAGTGAATTAATTATTTGACTATTTATATTCTGAAGTACACGTAATCAAGATCATATGCCACAGCGTAGACGAGTATTATACTGGGAAAGCCTCCCAAAGTCCTACTGTGTAAGTTTCGTATCAACAATATATTAGTACAATTGCTTACCTTTTGTTAACCAATGTAATAAGAATTGATTAATGCTAATGGTCGGGTACTGAATAACTACAGTATAATACTGCAATTCAAAAAGCAGAATATTCTTGTTAATAATCTCCCAGTGGCTTTTACCTGCTCATGTAGAATTGCAAGGAGATTTAATTTACAGAAATCTTTTGCTTGATGTTGAACTAATATAGTTGTATTTAACCAACAGTGGTGCAGACGATCTGGTTCCGGTTCTTGCATATGTGGTAGTGAACACAGGACTTCCACAGCTTATCTCTGAGTGTCATGCGATAGAGGAATTCATTCACGAGGGGTGAGAAGATAGCATAGAACTACGTGACACCTCTTCAACATTGCATATACTTGTTTATCTCTCTGTATACTAAACGCAAAATTACTTTACTTGTATTGTTTATTCTTGGATAACTAAATCACGGAAATATCAGTCTGTTCATTTGAGGTTTTAATGTAGGAAAATAGTCATGTTTATTGTATGTTTTTTCTCCATTTAGCTATTTAATGGGAGAGGAAGGCTACTGCTTGATCTCTCTACAGACTGCACTTGGCTACGTTGCATCACTCAGTGAAAAGTTGTAGGTGTCAATGTACTCGTTTCCTTGACCTTTACTCTTCTCATAATCATGTCAACGGTCAGTTAATCAATAGTAGACAATCGACTGTCAGACAATCGTACAAGGAAGCCTATTATGATTACATGCACTAACAACGAACAATCAACTATAAATTGCATTATTTTTTCCCATTTTGATTTTTTAAATGTTTGTTTGTATATTGAATCCGATTACACATTGTCAACTTCTCTATATTTATGTTCTTATCATTCACAGCAAAACACCTGTGCTCTGCCGTGTGGATAAGGAATATGTCTAGTAATAGTTGTCTTGATCTTCAATTTACAATGATTTTGATGTGTGCATGTTATTATGTTATTATGTATCAAACAATTGTATGCAATAATAAAAATCTCACTTCCATTTCCATTTTCTCCACCTCCATTTCCATTTTCTCCACCTCCATCACTCGTTTCTTTTCACCCTCCCTTTTTTCTCTCGCTCTCTCTGCCTCGCTCCCTCCACCTCAATTCTATTTCTTTTCCCCTTATTTCGTCCCCTGTCTTCTATCTAGTCTCTTTCTGTCATCCACTTCCCATCTCATTATATAAAATAGAAAACTATAAAATTGTCGATTTATATATAAATGAGAAATAATTTATTGTGATATTACAGCTAGGAATCTATTTGCTTGGTAGATTTTACATTGTTATTTAATAAACGATTGAAATGGCTGTATAATTCAACAGCCACAGGGAAAACATTGATCTTCATCTGTTTCATCTTAGTTTATATTTCATAGACATATCATAGACTATACCAACACTGTGAAAATGATCTGTTCGGCTTTGAAACACGCACGTTGCACAAGCAGGTGATTTTTTTTATCCCAAAAATCTTAGTGAAATGGGGAAGTAGCTGCAGAAAACCTGTTGGTCACTAAAGATGTCATTTGTTCGACATCACTTGAAATACAAAGAATGCTACGCCATTATACTTATTTGAAATTTACATTTGAAATTGTATCCTTGCATCCTTCATTAAATAGAAAAGTTAAGATATTTTAAAAAGAGATTTAAAGAAAAAAGTACATACATCACAGCTAATATTCAAATACCAATAGAAAATCGTATTTTTTCAATAAAGAAATAAGCATGATAGGTTGCCATTAGAAAAGCAATGTTACTATATCCTTCGGCCAATTACTTAAAAGAAACTGCTAGCACCCTTGCCCCTGACACATGCCCCTTGACCAGTATGTTCTAAGCTGAAGATGGTGAAAGTATTCTTTTACTATGACACTATCTTATAAGATCAACAACGTAACGTCTCATATGTGTTATATATCACGAGCAATGGATGACACCATTACTATTTCTCTTGTCACTTCATGCAATGGAAATATGACCATGCCAAAATATGATGATTCTGGATTATTTTCTGGAACAGCTTAAGTTGTGGCAACTGCCGTTTATTATACTATTTTAAACAAATAAATTGGATTTCCACATGACCTATGCATGTGCACTATTGGAAGATCTTTTTACAGACCTGGCACACAAAACTCACGCACACAAACTCACGCACAACATCTCCTAAGTCATTGGCATTACTTTATGCCTAAACACTAATGACCAAGGAACTCGAAAGATATGCACCCCATATATGGTTAAACGAGGGTCATTACTAACCAACATACACGGAGTTCAGATGCACGCATCTAAAACTGACATTATAGCAGTTGTCCAAGGTATTGTTAATTGAAGTCCCAAGGGCAGTTTTCTTCAGTGAAATTTAGGATAAACTTTACTTACATTAAAGTACAATGACAGCTCATTGGTTGTGATTTATCAAAGAGGAAAGAATGCCAGTATTCGCAGATATATATTTCCAACTTTTTTTGCAGCAGTGTTACACGTTTCCCTTTCATTTAATCTTCTTTTGGGGGTTATTTTAAACGGGTAATAGGGTGATAAAAATTAAAGATGACGAGTTGTCGAGATGTATTCTTCAATGCTGCACACTAATAAGAAACCAAGGTCATGTGCTAACGCTAGGCCAGCAACTACTGGTCTGCTCCTGGACTAGTCCAGACCTTCCAAACATTTCAGCTAGAGAGCTAGGGCAGGCCTATAGGTGGATGTTAATGGAACAGGGCACATTCGCTATAAGAAAGCAGCTTCATTACATGGCAATCCATGCTGAGAGGGCATGCTTGCTTGAACTTAGACAACTATTGCAGGTTGAATACAATAAACATGCAAGTTGCTGCTCCTGCATAATGCTTTGTCGTTCAAAAATGGTGTCCGAATGCTATATATGTAGGATGCCCTGCTCTGACTTATTCAGCTCTTCCATTTTGAGTCACACTGAAATCGGCAACTTAGCGTTTACAGTTCCTACACACACGCTCGTCTGAACTATTATGCTCATGTTTAAACGACCAAACCCACTTCCCCAGCATCTTCTTTGTGCTATATCAGTTTCACAAGCATTTGAGATGTAATTGAAGTTTTGACCTTTACACCATATTTGCAATAAGCCACATTTATAATAATTTTATTAGCTATCACTGCAAAATTATAATCACAAGTAATGCTTATTATCCAAGTAACTGTCACAATTTCTTAAGTACAGTGGAGCAGCTGACATGCAATAATTATATATATCCAGATATATATCCGGAGAGTCCGGAGATATAAATCCTATATATACAGTTAGTATATAGTATCCTGTTTTCTGTGTCAGCGACTTTCACTAATGAAGATACAATATATTCACATATCATTTATATTGTGTTTAATCTGTACATGTCTATGCAAACTAGCAAAACCAGTGCATTTACAATAGCCTCTAATCTCACATTATTTTCACACTTTTTAATGGACATAAATACATAATCAACATAGCATTTATAAATTTCCTCAATGTCTGTACAATAAGAACTTGGCATTAAACCGGCGCTGTGTAATGCAAATAACCAGAAACAATGCTCAGTGTATATGCCACAATACACTATAGACTTTCCAGAAATAAATCCTAATTAAACAATAGTCAATCCATGACCAATTACAGTCTAATCAAATTAATCCCACTAACTATGCAGGAGAAAACTACACTTGTAGCATATTAACTACATATCTGCATAAAATACTATTACAAGGATGGGCAACACATTACATACAATCACACAAAGTGATAGATACATGGCATTGTTGTAATTTTACAGCTACATGTAGAAGTTACAGAAAGAAACCCTAAAAGGTTGCTTATATGGCCAAGATAATCATGTAACTTTTTTAATGTAGTCAAAGCATTTACGTTAACACAGGCCTGTATCGGTTATATATAAATATACAACCCATCGCATTTGTCATGAACACATCAGCAGAATGACAGCATCTGACATGACAAGCATATACTACAAGGTCAGACACAACAGTATGGAACAGTGCCTATTACATACCTTCCAAGCAAGCAGGTTTTAGTACTAGTTCTAGTAGTAAGTAGGTAGTAACTAGTACAGCCACTACCCCTCCTGTCCAAAGTCATCCTTGAATTTATCTACCTTCAACAAATCTTCATCATTAACAGTCGGTTTGGTGCTTGAGAGGGACAGAAGAACATCTCCCTGTATCGAATAATTAAAATTAAGGTTTTAACACCACTGGGTCCTGCTATATTTGAAATGTTAAAGAAATACTAGACTCTAGGATTTTACTGCATACAACTGTACTTACTGTATAACAAATCGTCTATACCCACACGTACTTGTTACCAGATACCTAATTTAATTGTTATAAATAATTATACATCAACGCTACGAAATTTGAACGGCGCCATTGACACCCGCGACTGCGCTGCCACCCTGAGAAAGTTGCGCATTTCCCAATATATTTTGCACATTACAGACCGAGTGCTAATCACAAAGGTGCAATTATATTTATACCTAAATGCTATTTAACCGAACGATGTTCATTTTAGGGCAAATTTATCCATAATATAACTGAAACTATATGTCATTTATAAGATAATATTTATTACAATCCTTTTGCTTTTAAATTAATAAATAAGAAACACCCTCGGTCTGTAGCCCTTGGCTGAATAGTCGTTTTGCACAACTTTTCAGATCGTGCGCTTTGAGTGGCGCCACCGTCGTTGTAATCAAACTGTAGTCGTTGGTTTTAAAACATTAATTTTTTTTTTCTAATGGTCATTGAACCATGAAACTTTTTATGTAGCGTAATTTTAACATAAATTAACTGAAAATAACCCTAGAACCTAGAGTAAAGGATCCCTTTAAGTTGCCATTATTATCTATCAATATTAAGGCAGCACATCATCAGATGTTAATTTATTATTTCTACCACTATTGTTGAAATGTTAAACTTATTATGGCTACCGCTATCGTTAAAATATTAATTTATTATTGCTGCTGCCATTATCTGAATGTACATTTATTATCACTATCATCGGAATGTTAACTTACCATTGTCACAACTGGCTCTAGCAGTTTTTCACCAGGAACCTCCATCCAGGACATTTCCGTGGCACCAGGTGCACCAGGAGAACAGGGAGACAGCAAATCATCGACGATTAGATTAGGGTCAGTGCGACTTGGTCCCCGTACCCGTCTAAAGTGTGTAGCTGTCTGAACCTTTCGCACTGGCTGCATCAGGGCATCCCGGACCACTATACTGATGTCCGCACCGGAATAGCTGGAATTACAAGGTAGACTCTTCTATATACTCGAGAACACCTATTTAATTGAAGTAGAATATCTGGAAATACAGTAACACAAATGTAAAGTAACACACACAGTCACACACTCACGCATACACATGCATGCACGCACATGCATGCACGCACATGCACACATGCATATGCACGCATGCACATGCAAACATTCACAGACAGTCACACACAAACACACACGTGCACACTGACGCAGGCACACACGGATGCATGCAAGATATGCTCACCCTTCGCTTTTCTCTCCTAGCGTTCTGTAGTTTTCATCTGTAAGGCTATTTGGTGTGTTCCCCATGTGGATTTTGAAGATTGTTGTACGTGCATTTTCTTCTGGCAGTGGTATGTAGATACGCTTCTCGAACCTATCACCAAACAAAATCAAATTTATTATATTATTAAGCAACATATATATAAAGAGGGAACCACTGTATGCTCTTCTTTAAAACAATAACACAAATAATACACAACTTACTATAAAGTGACATGCCCTGGATTGCATTCCAAAACTGTTGGGAATATTAATGCTTTGTGTTAACTTAATTCAACCAATCTTACCATGTGCTGTGACAAAAAGTATTTCCGTTCAACTTGTTCCTCACATTTTACTTGCATAAAGACAACCAGGAACTCATCTAACCAATAAACAGCACAGCATGTCAGGTAACCCAGGTTGAAAGAGCCAACATTGACACCCAACGAATTAACAGCAGCATCTATTTTAATCTGCTTATTTGGACTTTTTGAAACTTTACTTGATAATTTCAAGCAAAAAAAACCTCCATTAATACACCTGCATTGGAAAAAGTAATATGAAACAATACATACCTCCTCCTTATAGCTGCATCTAGTACCCAGGGGATATTTGTTGCGCCTAACACTAGAACGCCGAAATTATCTGTCCCAACACCTGAAATGTCAATAACATTGTAGTAGTACAATGCATTTATCTACCTCACTTGGTAATCCGTCGACATCAATCACAATGGACATCACACGCACGGCGCTGAGCTGCAACCTGCAAGGAAGACGTCAGGTGGGAAGACCCAAAGCAACCTGGATGCGAGACTCAGAGGCTAAACTTAAGAAGAAGGGCTACCCCTGAAGGGAAATGGAGCGGAAGGCAATCAACCAAGCGACATGGAGGAAGTTCACCAATGACCTGTGTCTACCAGGAGATGGAAGGGTTTAAGAAGAAGAAGAATTGGTAATCTATTCATGAACGTGCACGTTTTATTAATTGTTATTACGCAGTACGCAGTAAATCGATAAACAGAGTCGTTTGCGAATAGATTTCGTGCTTCTACCATAAATGTGACTTGCCTCTGTGTTAGAGATAAATGGCTTACCTTGCATTTGCACAAGGAACTCTGTCTTAATTCGCCGGGCTGACTCGGATTCATTGTCCGAGCGCGAGCTGCAAAGAGAGTCTATTTCATCGATAAATACGATGCTTGGCTTTTTGTCTCGAGCCATCTCGAAGAGGTTCTTGACTAACCTAAAATCAGAGAGAGAGAGAACATAACTAGAAAAGGTTTCAATACATACCATGAATAAGTCTCTAGAGGCTACCGCTCGGAACTGCTAAAGTTATTAATGTCGCTCAAGCTGGTCAGACACTCACTATATTGTTCCACAGCTGTTTGTTTTCCCTACTAATTACCCTAAACACTTCAGTGATAAAGCTTTCAGTGATTTAATTCTTAAGTTCATGTTAGCTACGAAGCAGTTATCATATGTTCATGATATATACTAGGGCTGTAACGATACACAAGCCTCTCGATTCGATCCGGTTCTCGATATTAGCCTCTCGATTCGATCCGGTTCTCGATATTAGCCTCTCGATTTGATTACTTCGATGTGATTCCCAAAATATTAAAATGTTATCTTATTTTTTATATTTTCATTATTTTGCAATAATAAATTATTAGAAATTGCCAATGAATACTAAATGGTGAATAGACTAGAGAGTCTAGAGAGTATATATCATAGAGATGTATACTATTTATACATCTCTATGGTATATATACACTGCACAATCGCCGAGTAAAATTGGTGAGTAACACTCCACAGTATATAGCGTAGTGCCGCCATCTATTGGAGGAAAAAAGTGGTATCGAAGTGAAATCGAAAATACGGGGGAAAAATATCGAGGATCGGATCGAGGGAAGAGAATCGCGATCCGATTCGATTTCGGTGGATCGTTACAGCCCTAATATATACAGCAGATATTTTGCACGGACTTAAATATATTTGTCATCCGACTGTATGGCGATATCATCTTTACATATATTTCGTTACATAACTGAGATTCCTTGATTCTTGATCATATGACATGTCTTGCCCACAGTTGTGGTTTTAGGTGTGTACTTACTTTTCACTTTCGCCTAACCACTTGGAGACAAGATCGGATGAAGACACAGAAAAGAAGGTAGAGTTGGCCTCTGTAGCAACTGCCTTCGCCAAGTATGACTTGCCTGTTCCGGGTGGCTATATAAATCAATGTTGAACAATTATTTATGCTATGCCAAATAAAAATAGTAAAGTATGACAAGGCACTCACAGCCATAAACACATCAATGCTTCAGTAGAGCCAAGAACGTTAATTAATACAAAATGAACAAGAAATGGCTATATAATTGAAATTTCCCTTTTAAAACCATGAAAAGAACAAGAGCAATCGTAACAGTCTTGCTTGCTGGCACTCTGCACTGACGCAATGCATGACGCATATATCTATATATAGCTATCGATCTAATTTGTAGTCGGGTTTAACGCGGCGGTGACACATCATAAACCCCTACGAGCCTACACAGAGAGAAAGCGAAAGCGAAACAAAGCGAAGCGGTTAGAGAGTAAACCGCTACACTACGATCAATGATGAGTAATCCTTAAAAAAATTCCTGGATCCAGATCTGGATCGGATCACCACCAAAATCGAATCGATTGGTTCTTGGCCCAAGACCAACCCGTCCAAAAAATTCCATCAAAATCCGTCTGTAACTTTTTGAGATATCCTGTTGACAGACAAACAAACCAACAAACCAACAAACAGGGGCGAAAACAACCTCCTTGGCGGAGGTAAAATACAATTATTCCTCTTAGGTGATCACATATATTGCTTATAATTGATACTTACTCCAAATAGCAGAATTCCCCTCCATGGTTGTCTTTTCCCTGCAAAAAAATAAAGAAAGTAGCAATTCAGTAACATCCAGAAGAGCAGCTCAACCAGACTGAATTGCTTCTAACATGAGCACTTTGATTGTATGTAAACGTCCATGCCGTGAATGAAAGTTACGACATAGGCGACGCTCAATACATAGACACACATGTATCCACATTCTACTAACAAACTGCAATGAGTAAGAGTGCAGAACTCTCTTGCAAAGAAATACGTACACTTGCTGTACGATATTATGATAGATAATGTGTGAAAACAACAACAAATTTATCAAAACAATTTTATAATGTCAAGGGTGCATACATACCTGTAAACAAGTGAGGAAACTTGATTGGTAAAATAACAGCTTCTTTTAATGCTTCTTTCGCAACCTCTAACCCAGCCACATCATTCCAATTGATGTTTGGTTTCTCCATAACAATAGCACCTGTCGATAGTTGCATACTTCATGTACAAGAAAATCACACAGGGAAGTGATATAACAACAGATGACGAATCAGAATAGGTCTATGGCACAGATATATTGGTTCAATTCAAGTAAAATACTGAACATACTGTATGCTATATTACTGTAAAATACATTGAAAATCTTGGCATATATGTAACTGTCTAATGTTTCTAGTTATTTACTCCATGCGTCAAAAGATACTTCTATGCTACACGTACCTTCTAATTGGTTAATCAGTTTCTTTTTATCTGGATCACTGTCGGAATCACTGTCACTGTCTGCACCCTTCCTGTACAACACAAATACAGCATTAGTAGAGTCCCAGACATGGTAATAAGCTATCCATAATACAAAAATGAAAAAATGTAAAAATGTGATTAAAAACTAAACAAAAAGACTAAATAGACGTTGATACGTCTTATCAATTTTTTTTGTACACTACCTGGATAGTTATTTCACGTGAAAAATTAAACTTTTCATATTTATTCTGTTGTTTAGCCAACCTGAAATGCTGTGCATTTTCTATATCAATATACAATTAACAAATGTTACTGCAACCAGTTACAGTAACTTACACATTGGGACACACGTTATCATCATTCAATAGAAGCAGTTATAATACAGCTAAATAATCAACTACTTACTTGCTTGAATTTTCACCAGTTTTTATTGGTTTCTTCTTGTGCTCTTTATCCGCCAAATACTTTTTCAACTTCTCAGCTCGATCGAGATACTGAATACATTTGGCCCTGATAGTTTCTCTGGCCTTGTCACTTTGTGCCTCATCTGCAGAACAATTAGGATCATTTCAACGTTGTCATCCTGTCATACTCAATATATAACAAATAAAATAAATAAATCCCAATCTTGGATTGATGCTGATGAATTTGAATAGCTTTGAGGTTCTGTTATTAATGTGTCACATTTCAATAAGAGTATATTATTATCCCAGGTGTGATAGCCAGACATTCTCAAATAATAACCATTTTGCTTTGCATAGATCATATTTTTATAGCTATAACGTTGCTCAACGATTCAACAATCATTGTAACACATAGATTAGCATAGAATGAGTCAATCTTACATCTACTAAGAAACTATCATCCATTACATTGGCATTCTTTTTGTATGCAAATCCTAGTATAGATAATCAAGGTAAAATTAAAGGAAGAGAAATGAATTTATATAAATGAGCTTACACTTGATGGCATGTAGAAAATACTCTACTGAATGCTCGTAAAGTCGCAATGCTTCTTCATAATTCTTGTTCTTATCTTCCTCCGTTGCTTTGGTCACCAAGTCAATTGCTTTCTAAAAGACGAGTATATTAACAGTAAGAAAATAATACACATTAATTCAATACATACATGATAAAAACAATAACAAACTATTATGCAGCCTCTAAGTAACGTCAAAAATATGATTTTTGTAAACTTTAAATTTGATGATGCATTTTGTTGTGCCAATTTAATGCTTTCACAGTTTTAGAAAGCCCTACACCTGCTTCACAAATTCAGGGATTTACACTTACTGGGCAACGTTAGCGAACGCGAGAATTTCGTCAGTCTTTGTGAGATTTCGCGTGACACAGCTCGATTACGAACAGAGACAGTATGTTTTTATAACAAGTGAACACTGTCGTTGAAATAGAAACAAAGATGGAGTAGAATGGTTGAATATTTGTGTTGTAATCGTGTGAAATCCAGCGAGCGTCGAGCGAATTTGGGCAGCACGCTTTCCTACCTGCTATATATATATAAGTGTAAGTGTGCACAGTGCAGCCGCGTGAGGAATGGCGGCCGCAAGCGTATGTTGCAAATAGGATTTGGACGGAATTTACAGGAAACTGTCAGCAATAATAGGTGAAAGAGAGTATAGAAACATTAAGAATTTGGTAGTAAATAGATTTCGTATTTATTTAGCATTATATTTTATTGAAACGCTTCAAGTGCCTGTGGCATTAATTGCCTACCACAGACGTTTTATAGTCGCGAATAAGCGCGATTTTAAGTTGGTCCCGCGCATCCCTAATGGCTGGTTCTATAGCCCAGCGGCAACTGCCAACTGTACGCGAGCTATAGTTACTAATACTACTACTAGAGCTAATCTAGTAATATGCCGGACCGTACCTCGCCTACTCCTACTCCCTAACCCTAACCATATCAGATACTGAGATAGTTACCAGGGTACATTCCAGTATACCGGACCATACCCAGGGTACGTTCGGGCAGTACCCAGGGAGACATAGACCCTAGATACAATAATGTAACCCAAACACAGGATAGGGTTACAACGCGAGCCTATCCTTTTGTGTAAAGGAACCCCTGAGTGAATCACTCAGGGAGGTTTGCTGGTGCGTTTTCAGAGACTATAACTTCCAAACT